CATTTGACTTTGCCTGAAAGTCCTTCCACATTTGACCCAAATCTAAATGAAGGTGCTTCATGGCGTCACCCCTTCCCGACACCCTGCACTCTGCTGAAAAGTGATTATTTGTTTGAACTTCTCCTTTATTTAACTCAAGGTAATGACTTTGAGCTTAATTTATTTTTCTAATTGAGTTCTGGGCCATAAAAATGTAGATGAAAAACAAGACACAAAGATTAAAGATAAATCCATTAAAAGTACTCAAGATAAATACAATCGCATTGAACTACAAGGGAAGAAAGATCCTTGAAACCCTGTGTTAATATTAAAGTCACGAATGATAAACAGATGATGCGATTAAGCTCCTTCTGAGAGAGATAGAGATAAGAAAAAGGAATTGGATGACATTATTATTTCACTCGTATCTGCTGGTCGTGAACAAGCACTTATCGGTTTGCTTAGTAAAAGTATAAATTAGTCTTCTAAATTAAAATGTAGCAGTCCTCTCACCTCACGATGCATACGTCCAACTCTATAACTGTACGTCCAGCATGATAATACTAATAATACACTGAGATGTGACACATTTTTGCGGGAGTTTTCTCCTTGTCCAGACAAAAGAGAGCAGGAACTGGGTTTCCGACCTCATTTTGAGGACCTTGTCCAGCAAAGCAGTGTAAAGAAAGAGAAGTCATTATCTCTACAGATGAGAACTCCAAGGGCCATTCATAAAAGGACAAGTCCCAGAGGAAGGTATGCCTGCGGTAGGCACACCATTATCAATAGTCGACTCCCTTGTGACTCTCCAGGCCCCCAAAATAGAAAGGAAGTGTCCAGGGTAGATTTCAGTTTCATGATCTGTGGAGAATGTGCTTAGGATCCAGGAATACAAGCTACACCAAGGGCAAATATGCAGTTATCAGAAGTGTCTACATAATTAAAGTATTCATTTCATGTAATTACAGCCTAATCCGGTGGGACACCAAGTGTTACATTATGAACCTCCTGATATCGAACAACCTGGGTAAGTGTTGCAGAGCAGAGGAAGATGTTCAATCAGCTGGGGTTTTTCATTGCCTGACACTTGTTTCCATAGAAGCTAGTTATGTTTTCTTTCCTAGGATGCAGCGTAAAAAAAATATTAAACCAAATCACAGTTTAAATTATTAATAGAAGGATATTGTTCAGGGGACAATGAAGGCAACCCAGGTCCTGTTTAAACACCACCTGGGCTAGTTACTACTTTATTGGATAAGGTCTGGAAACATGCCAACCTGCAGCGTTTCCACATACAGCAATTTGTATGATGTCGTTATTTGGTTACTTTTTGTCCGTGTCCTCAGAAGCCCAAGCAGAAACTGTTTAGGCAAAACTTTTATGGTGAAGTTTACAAAAAAACTGTAAAATAAGTTTGGATGTGGTTTAATTTAATCAAGGAAATTACGAAGCCCAATCAGAAACTGTTTAAGCTTTTTGGTGAAGTTTAGAAAAATAGCGGCTTTGGTTCAAATTACTTGTGTAATTTAATCAAGGAAATAACGTGATAAAAAGCGTGACTTCTGGTTTCCCATGAAACAAGAACAGTTGTGTCCAGAGTTAAAGTCCTGTGTTCATTATATGGGTTACTTGTTGTGCTTATACGAACTGTGCATCAAAACAGCCTGTAACTTGCAATGTTAGACATTATTGTTAGCATTATAGAAAAAAAAATTCTGATTGAAATTTTTTGTAATTTCTTTGCTACAACTTTTCTTCAGGGTCGACTTAAAGTGGACCTATCATGCTATATTTGAAAAATATATTGTAGGGCCATAAAACATGTCTGTGAAGTTTTTTTTTCAAAATACCAAACAGATTGAACATTGTAGCCATGCCTCATACTGCTCAAACCCCTCTTTTGAAGCCCTGTTAGAGAAATGCAGATTTTGGGTCCTTAGCTCGAAAAAAAAGAAATAAGAGGAGGCGGAGCTAATGCCTGATCAGAATTCTACCGGAGATAAAGTTAAATTCGGTTGTGATAAAACGCCATCCTGTTTAAACCACGTCAAGGATTATTNTCGGCAGGTCCAATGTGACTGCTTAAAGTTGTTTGTGTTTGTGTTCGTGGCGCGTCAATTCGTTCTTCCCAAATATGATTCTTTACGCCATACTCCCTGTTTGTGTATGAAACCGGGGGGGTTTAGGGGTCGGAGATATCCGCAATGCGTCTTGAAAGTCCCTGAAGTGTATGTTGAGGTGTAGCATCTCGATGGAGACGGGAATGGTAGGCGCATGCTGTGTCCTGTAGAGAACGGAATAGTTGCACATGAAATGTGAGAGAAGATGTTTGTGTACAGGCGGGGATGGAGAGGGGTGGTGGGTGTGTGTGTTGACCATGTCAAGGCATCTTAAGGATGTTTAAAAGGACTTCTCTGGTGTGTTCCCTTTATGCACCCACAACCCACCTCAACTGGTTTGGGAGGGGGCCTATTGTGACACAAACTTGCGAAGTTTCTTTTGCTGTCTGTTTCCTATCTCATATTTTCACAGTGTGTCATAGTTCAGACAAGGTATTTCTTAACTACTCCACATCTACCATGCTGGATATTATGGCTTCTTTTTGTTTCTAGACCCTCCTGAGGTGCGCCGCCAGAAAACCTCCACCTGTTAGTAAACGTCAAAATGTTAATAACAGTAAAACTAGACCCTCTAGAACAGTGTTGAGAGACAACGGACCTACATGCAACATACATAGTCTTGCCATATATTTATGATGCATGAGGACAGTGTGGAGGAAGACGCTATAATGCACACTAGTTATAAACTAAATTTCCGTGATGTTGAAAAGATGGATCTCGTGTGGCATAACTGCGCTTTTCCTGGTCCCACGCGCGTCTGCCTGCTGCAGGGCTAGATCACTTCGCGTATCTCGATAGAGAAGGGTGAGCAGTAAATAAATACCATCGATTAATCTTTCGATGGACACCACCTGACCTTCTCACCTGAGCACAGCCGACACACCGAGATGAGTAATCTAGCTGTCTCGCTTACATGTCCAAAGTAGGAGAGCCGAGACAGCTTCGTTAAACTGTACCGTTAAGTCAAAAAGCGTTCGTTTTTAAGCCGTTCCATTTTTTTAGTTTTGCCTTGTCAGAACGACCGCGCCATCTCGCTGCTTTTAAAATGGTGCGTGCAACACCCCGCATATCTCATTTTGTCAGCCCTGTGTTATGCTCTCTTCTTCTCACCCTTCTCGAGTGCTCCAGGATTGAGAGGCGGGCACTGCAATGAGCCACCCAACAGAGGCTTGGGGCAAATGTTAAGGTAGGTGACACCCACCACACCCTCGTTCCCGTTTCCACGCGAGCCATTCGCTCCATAGTTCAGAGGGCCGACACGGCAAGGCGCAGAATAAATTACCCTTTATCGCACGTCTGTTATCGGGGATAAGACTGCTAGGAAACAAGAGCAGCTGATCTGAGGATATGATTTCCCTGCCCCGCTCAGGTGAAGTAAGCTCTCTGTGTTTAAATAGGTAGTTTTTGTCTGCCAAGATGTGGGTCCAGGCCCGTATCACACATCCGCAGGAAGTGCTGTGCCAATGTACACCTTTGAGACGCCGGGTTGCGTTTTTAATTCTCGCTCCTCCTCATCTGTTCTCTCTGATGGTGAACTGTGTGTTGTGTGCCGAGTGAGCATACAAATTAGATGTAGTAGAGTATGACCGGGGGCGGACGAAAAGGAAATGCAAATTGGTTAAAGAGGTTTGTGTTGTGGTCACATGATATCAAGTACTATTAGTTATTTTTTATCATCCTGTCTTATTGACATTACCGCGTTTTGTGGTGAGTCCCCCTTCATCAGGAAAGGCTCTCCAACCAAAAGCAACACAATCAACGATAGCAAAAGTAATGTATAAAAATGGACTAGAAAACGGTGGGAAGAATGAGAAAAATACAGACATGAAGAGATATGATATAGAAAAGGCTCTTAATTAGATACACTGTCACGATGAATGAGGTTTACAATTGACTTTCAATGTGCATATTATGTTCTCCAACAATTACAAACGGATCGTATTAGAGAAACATCTTTAAGAAGGTGGGGTAGGGAGTTTTGGAGAACCAGCTCTAGTGTGTCTAGATAATTTTTGAATAGAATACACAAACCGGAGACAATTTCTTGTCTCACTTCTACTACCAGAGTGTCCAACTACTAGCGCAACGAAGCGCTACAATGGATCCATTATCGCGCACCCGAGATAAGTTTTGTGACCACAGATGGGAAGGTCTGACCAAGGGCAAGTTTTTTTGGTCCCATCCCGTTACTGTTTAGCCGGTTGGTCTCCGATTGATTTGGTCGTGCTTTTTTCGCGCCAGGCATCTCAACAACAGAAGAATGGAAATGGTCTCTTATGGACTTTATTGTCTAAAGCACTTCAGGTTTATATAATTGCTATCGGATGTTAAGGACATCTGATCGGAATATAACAACCAATGTATCTCGCGAGTCGGTTTCGTCAAACTTACCTCCCCCACCTCTTTCAGCATGAAATGAAATTAAAAACAATAAAATAGTGCAAGAGAATGTCCTTAGAGAAGCGTGAGTTCTCTCTTTTGTTCTCCAGGATTGGGGCCGGGCCGTTCAGGCGACCAGCCGGTCAGCGCAGCTCGGAACGAGACGGGGCAAAAAGGTTACTGCCAAAAGACTATTCAGAAAGTAGGTCCACTCTTTGTGTTTCAAAGCTCGCCGGAGAATCGCATTCTGGCCGTGGGAGCGAAGCACTGACGATAGTCTACTGGATCATGCTTCCAACCGCCTCGCGCCAAAACAGGACAGCGCCATCACTAAGGCCAGGCAATGCGTTCAGCGGCCATTTTGCCCGGAGCGCGCCTCCCGTGCGCATGGGTGACAGCTCTGACCCAGCAGCAAAGACTAGCCTTCCGGCAGTTGCTCTTCCAATATTAGCATGAGCAAGAGGGCGGATAAAGCAGTGTACTGTAATGCTTTCTGAAACGAGGCAGTCGGATTTACAAGAGCCCGGCAGGCTCTTTGCCTTATTAATGTGATATAATTCAGAAGAATGCGCAAATATCCTGGTGCAGACAAAAGATGCCTTATGAAAGCCACAGTTACATCTAGATACAAGCAGAGGAAGATTACATTCAGATTCAAGCTTTGTCGTGTGCACATTAGCTGCAGTGCTAGATATGGCAATGAAAACTCCCAGGCTCCTCAAGAGTGCAACATTAGAAACAATGCTTCGGAAACAGGCAAGAGGGACAAAGCTGTACTCTGAGGCAGTCTCATTTCAAAAACACTGAATTTTCGCTTGCCCGTTAACGGTACGTCCACACAGCAGCTTTGGAAAAAATCTTGAAATCTTGGAGCTGGGCGGTGTCTGAGGGCTTGGGGATTTTTGCAGACCAACAACCAATCACATGATTCCCGCCCGACATACAAAGCAAAACAACAGTCAGGGGATTTATGCGAGTCAATATAGTATATATATCTAAACTCCCAAACAGGCGAAAAACCTTTACCAGTGTTCACACCACTGTCTCTGCCACCTCCCTCCATGCCTGGTTCCTCCGGTTTGTGTCCCGGTAAATAGTTCTGGTCGTAAAGAACCGGGTGATTTGCTACCGTAATTTCTCGTTTGGAATATGAGGAAATGAACTGCGGTCTGTCTCTCCCAGTTTGATTGGCTAGCGCTTGTACTGTCAGATTTGCATAAACGGGATTTGATTGGCTGACGCTTCCACCTCAGCTTCAAAAGTTGAACATTGCTCAACTTTTGAATCCTGAAAATCCTCAAAATCCTGGAAATCTTCGCTTTGCTTCCCCACAATGCAGTTCGGCGAAAAGCGAGGCAAAGTGACGTCACCCCCATTCAAAGTCAATGGGCAGAGAAGCGTTGGAAGATTTTTTGAAAGCTGCTGTGTGGACGTACCGTAAGTGTGTAGGAGTCACTATTCTGCCTCGATTGCTTTCCCGAGGAAACCAATACACCTCATAAGCTGAGCTCTGAACATAGAGGCTTAGAGATTTCTCCTTTGGAAGTGAGCCTACAATTGGTTTAGAGGAAAACTAATCTAATTAGAGAGCACCCTGGTTAATTGAAGACCTCCAGGGCTGCTGAGGTCTCATCAGAGCAAATGTTTGTTGTCCTGTCGCGGTCATTAAAGGCTGCAGCCCGGCAGCTGTCAAAACTAACAGCAGTGTGGTGATGGAGCAGGCTTTTAAAAGGTGTTGCAGCAGAAGTGTGAAACCTAGCTGTGAGGAGTGGCTGCATTATGTATAAGCGTGGTGGTAAAGTGCCACAAATGAAGTTAGCTCCACACCTGCAGGAGCTTTCTCCACGGTGTGATGCATCTGTACCTCGATGGGCTCAGATTAGATGAGACACACTCTTCACTGCGGGTTTGTCTTCTTTATCTCGGGGGATTCAGGATAAGGAGGCCATTTAGTTTCCTCCCTCTGCCTGGCATTTTTCTATTTTTGCCAATCTCCTCCTTGTCTCCCCCACAGAGGCGCAGCAGCTTCTTGCCTGAGCAGCTTTTTAAGTTGTTTACGAGGCGGCTGGCTGCCCTCCCTTTTGTGTTTTGGGAGCGTAAGTCGAGGAGACATCGTGCCGGCGTGTTCTCCTTCGCCTCAAATAACCTCTCCTCTCAGCAGACTGCACGCAATCTCTGTCTGGGAGTACAGGCTGATAAATTATGAAGGCCAAATTCCTCTCTATCTTTTAAAATGAGTAGTTTATTGTTACATAATTTCTATTTGAAACCATCTTGGTCAGTCATGAACCTTCTTATTATGTTCCCTTCATTCTGAACCCAATGGGGGTTCCTTAACCCTTAGATGCATAAGTGGGTCTCTTGGACCCGGTGAGGTGGTTTTCTTGAAGTATCTTTTGTAATTACATTTTTTTTTATCATTTCATATTCCAGCTATTCCTCAAAAAACATGTTTTGGAAATCATGCCATTCACATTTTTTATTTACATTTTAGGAAATTGTAGTTTTTGTATTTTTTGTATTTTTTTGTATAACTGGGTCAAAAATGACCCGCATGCATTTTCTATGGAATCCTATAGGAAAACATTTTTTTTTCAAAATGTACAAAAATGTCTAAAATGATAAATAGTGAAAAATTAAATATAAAAATATTTTTTGTGTGAACCAAAATATAATCCTAAATATTATACAAGTGATTGTTCTTAACCAAAATGACATAAAAACACATATTATTCTAATACAGGTCCTTTTGACCCACTTATGGGAGACTGTAGGGTCCAGTCACTCGGGCATCTAAGGGTTAATACGTAGTAAAATCATTTATTTCCACATTTAGTTGTTGTTTTACAGAAAACAGTTAAACATACCGTAATTTTCGGACTATAAGCCGCGCCTTTTTCCCTATTTTTCGACGCTGCGGTTTATATAACGGTGCGGCTAATCTATGGATTTTTACAGCTAACGGCCAACACCTTTAACTCTATGGGCTCTATGGCCGGTCCGCGGACCCCCACCTTTAAGCGGCGGGTTCCAGCAGGAAAAGCTGGAGGCCGGAAAAGAGTGAGACAGGTAGCGCGCAAAAGTAAAAGTGGAACCGAGAGTGGTATGTCGCTGCTGCGGCTTATATTCAGGTGCGCCTTATAGTCCGAAAATTACGGTACTTACTATATTGGACGATAATACCTTTTTTTTCTTTCAGTATGCACGATCTTAAACGCAGGACTTATGCTTGTAATTTGAATTGCTACTTGTACTAAGATCCTTTACTTTTATCATAGTTATATTTCCACTGCAGCTTCACTGTGAGTAGTTAGCAGCCACATTATTAAACTCCAGATTGCGACCAGCCTCCTCCCAAAAACTTCTTTGCCATTTTGCACGGCATCCTGTGATTATACAGAGATGAATCCATCACAGACGGTGCTCAGAAACCACTTTCTACTTCAACAGTTGGCCTCGAATGCAACGCCAGGGCCACGCCTGCTTCATTGATAGCTCTGAAAGCAACACGTTAAAGCTCCCCCTTGTAAACGTTTGCTCATGGTCTTCCCCTCAGGTTCAGAATCGTGCAGCAGCGTGGGTTCTTCGTCCAGTTCGCTGTCTCGTCCCCAGCTTTCTGTCGCCGTCTCAGGCCAGTCTTGGTCCAACATCCCCAGCGCTCCTTTGATCCATCCGTCCTCCACAGACACTCGGGGCTCCTCCGGACACCCTGACATGATCAAGAGTGTCCCTCCGCAGCCACCGTCCGCTACAGACGCAACCAGCTATTACGTGTTGCCGCTGGAAGCCTCAGGGATCCCACCTGGCAGCGTGCTGGTCAACCCTCTCACAGGTGGGTGGAGACAATTACAATCATAACAACACAGATGTAACAGAGAAGAAGACATGGGGACATTTAAAGGGGGTTAACAGGTAGAATAAAATAAATAATGATCCCTCTCAATAAAATAAATGAGGACACAATAGAATAAAATATAAAAACCTACAAAATAACAGCTTAAAAGTTTCTATTTAACTCTTTATTTAGATTTCCTCAAGTTAGCCTCCTGCATTAAATCAAAGTAAAAACACATTTTAATGTCTTTCAGTTTTCTGGTTTACTTTTAATTAATTCTTCTTGACTTGGGGACAGATTTTTTTTTTTGACAGTTGGCATGTTGCTGCTGCTCTCAGTTTGTTTGTCGAATTAATCCGACCAAAGCATGCAGATCAGAGTGAACAGATGGGAGGAATCTGTAGATATTCATCATGAGCCAGGCGTACACTCTGAGCTGCAAAGTGAACTTCAAATGTGCCAAGATTAGTCACTTCCTGTCACCTCTCCTCGCGTGTGTGTGTGTGTGTGTGTGTGTGTGTGTGTGTGTGTGTGTGTGTGTGTGTGTGTGTGTGTGTGTGTGTGTGTGTGTGTGTGTGTGTGTGTGTGTGTGTCTCTCATCACAGTGGTTTTATATTTCTTGTGATTTACATTTGACAGGCAAGCCTTTCATCCACCCCGATGGCAGCGCTGTGGTTTATAACCCGGCCTCAAACGCTGCAGGCAGGAATCCTCAGCAGGGGAAATCTCCACAGCAGCCAATCCCTGCCCCTCCTCAACAGCAGCAGCAGCCGACCAATCACATCCACTCCCAGGTCAGTGGGCGGGGCTTCATTTAAACACACTTAACTCCAGTTAGAGCTGCAACTGTCAGTCATTTTTATCTACTGGTTATTTCCAAAATGCATCGATTTATGTCAGAAATAATGATGGCTTGTTTTTGAAAGTCCAAAAGCCAAAGACGTTCACTATAATGTGATATTAGACATACAGGACATCTCAATAGTTGAAAGGCTGGAACCAGCATTTATCGTATCCAGATCACTAACTCCAGTGTTTTCTCTAACGTCACTAACTTACTGTGTTGAGCTGATGGTATGATGGTGGGAGCTTCACTTAGCCATTTAATTGACTGTTTGATAAGCCCCTCCCATGAACAGCTTCCCTACATTCCTCACTAGGTAGGAACGTTTTTGTTTCTACTAACCCCAGCCATTGCTATCTGATAAAGCCTAACGTTTGCAAAACACATCTTCTCCTTGTTACATTGAACAGAAAAGTGTCTAGTGAAGCTCCTACTGTGCTGCTAGCATCCTTCTTCATCTCCTTTCCTTCTGTCCGTCCTCTCCTCCTTCCCTCCCCTCCTCAGCCGATCTGTCCTCCTCTCCTGCTGTCCTCTGAGCCTGTTCACAACCCGACGGTCTCCTATCCTCTTCCTCCTCTTCCTCCTTCTCAGTTCCTGCCCGTCTGTGCTAACCAACAGTACACTGTGGTACAGAACTCCTTTCTTTACTCTTTTAATATTCCTTTCCTTCCCCGATCCACCTCCTGTCCCTCCTGCCTCGTTAAGAGTTCACTTCTTGACTTTTCAAATTATGAAACTGATGTGTAAAGAGAGTCAGACCTCTATAATGTAGCCTCTTAATGAGCTCATTTGCTAACGAACCTCTGTGGTCAATTAAGATTTTATGACGATTCTATACCACATTTTTATCGCCTGTTTTAAAGTACAGTAACTGGAGAGTTGTGGCTTCTTATAAAAATGTCTTAAAGTAAGAATTATCTCCCCTTTTCAAACATTTACACAGCTTATTACTCTCCCACTTAACTATTCATTCATTGGTGGAAAGGTGTATCTGATCCAGAAGGAGCCGCTACCCACATATATAGATCATGCATCCACTTAACCTCATTTCTGACCTGGTTTTAGTGAAAGACATGTCTCAGTCTGTGACTAATTATGCCTGTGGAAAGTTCCATTAATATTTAATTCATCACCAGATGTTGCCGCTGAATAATCCATGGCAAAAAAACACTACTTTTTACAACAACACGTCAGAAGTGACCTGAACTGGCGCGAAGTGTTAATGCAGATAAATAGTCGGCTTTAGACTCTGCTATTCTCACATTTAATCTTTAAAGCTTCAAGAGAAAGTCAATTTAGCAGCTTAGGAATCAGCTGATAGTCTCCGGTGGTTCAAGTGTATTGATCCATATTCAGAGCAGATTTAAAGGACTACTTCACACACACAATGACCATCAGGTGTTTGTCATACATGCCTCCAGGGTGTAGCACTAGCACCTCATTTATATAAATAGTTACCACCACAATAAACCGTATTTAATTTAGTCTTAATTCACATTATTTAATTAATATTCTGTAAGTGACTTCAGGTAATATCATTGTCATGTCTACACTGTAGCTTTTGAATCTTGAATTGAACCTTTCTCTCTGCAGCCTGACGCCCTAAACGCCCAGTTTGGTCACATGACTCTGGCTCAGCATCCGCCCGGTGACAACGTTGCTTCGGCTCCAGACACCCGCCATTACCCAGCTGTATACCAACATATAAACCACCACCAACACCACCACCCCTCCTCCATGGTGCTGCAGGGAGCTCCTCCTCCTCCTCTTCCTCCTCATCATCCTCATCCTCCTCAGCATCAGCAGCAGGTTGCTAGCTACATGTTAGCAGGGCCATCAGGAGGGATTCTGCAGGGTCCACCCGTCCCGATACCAACACCCGGCCCAAATCACGCATATCCCAGCTCCACCCCGGCGTTGAACCAGCAACTCCTGCAGCAGCACACTTACATCCAGCAGCCTGTGCAGCAGGTGGGGACGGACCGTCACATGACTAATCAATTAGTTTACCGTTTACTAGGGGTGGGAATCACCAGGCTCCCAACGATAGCATTGCGATTCTACGACATGCTAAGTATTGGGATACAATATATTGATATATATGATTGCATGATATATTGGGTACATGTGACAAAAGTTTTCCACAGGTCTTTGCACAGGAAGTAGGCGAGTTATTTTCTAAGCTCGCTCAGAATTTGACGGTAGCTTTGCCAAGCTAATTTGGAGTTGCAATATTATATTAAAACATTTAAGAAATAAACAAGAAAGTAGAAAATATACATGTTGAATTACAAATTAACGGTGCAACATTTGTGATATTGGGCTATATAACTAAACATTGATTGATTGATTGATTGATTGATTTGTTGATTGGTTGATTTGTTGATTTGATTGATTGATTGTGTTGATTTGTTGATTGATTGATTTGTTGTCAATCGTAGTTTTTAATCCGTGTTGTGTGTGTTTGTCCTCCAGATGCAGTGTTATTGCTCCTCAGCGCACCACCCTCACTGCTCCCCCCAGCAGCAGCAGCAGCAGCAGCAGCATCACTACAGACCTGCTATCACCCCGCTGCCCTACAACTGCCCTCAGAGCCAGAACCTGCCCCAGCAGCAAGGTACGAGCACTGCCATTTAGATAAGATGCATTTTGATATTCAGTTTTTATTGTCTTGACAGAAAACACCTGAGTGCTTGCTTTTACAGCTACAGATGTGTGTAAAGGTATTAAGACTAGGTATAGGTGGAAAGAGTTTTTATTTGATTTTGCATTTTCAGAATAATTGAGAAGCATCATTTAATGTACCAGCGTTTGCGCAGAGTCAAAAATGTTGACTTAATTCCAATATTTCCGCTTTTTTCTCCTTAAAATGCAGTAAAATAAAACATATCTTCCTGTTCTGACTGAACTAGATATCTAGCTTTTATTGTCTCTCAGAAAATACACGGATCATTTGTGTTGAGGCTTGCTTTCACAGCTACAGATTTGTGAAAAACATTTGAAATCTTAGAAAAATGTCATTAAGGCTAAATGTATGGAACGATGTTTAGGGCGGTACAAAAAAAGATAAGGAAGATTTTTTCATTTAATGTGAATTTTGACAACAAAGTGAAATGGCGAGAATATTTTTAAATGACTTGCATTGGCGCATATTTTTCATTTCATTTCAAACCTTTATTGACCCAGGTGTATCCCATTGAGATCATTGGTCTCTTTTTCAAGGGAGACCTGCTCAAGTAGGTTCCACATGAAACATAAAAACGTAAACAGAACAACAAAAAGGACATCTTACAGCATGATTACAGGGATTACAATTTACAATAACTATCCACATGAGCAGGTACCAACAGCTGAGCAGGTACCAACAGCTGAGCAGGTACCAACAGCTGAGCAGGTACCAACAGCATATCCAAAAATATTAACTTATATTTGAGCTGTTTTCTTAACTTTTTAGATTCAAAACATATCGTAGTACTTCTTCCTGTTCTGACTGACCTGGTGAGATGGACTTATTTTAACACACACACACACACACACACACACACACACACACACACACACACACACACACACACACACACACACACACACACACAGTGAGGTACACTCTCACAAGGTCCCATTTAAAACAAGTTTATTTCACACTTACATTCTCCCTGAATCCAAGCCAAGGCCGTGTTTTATGACGAATGCACCTTGATGCTAAAAACCTCCTTCACTTCCTCCGGTTTCCTGTGCTAAACCGACGCCTCTTCAAACACGGCTTTGAAATAGTTACATGGTGGGAATCAAAGGATGTTTTAATGAACGAGGTCCGCAGCCTCTGATGTGAAGCAACACACTTGAATATTTAGACTCCATGTCGTCGAGAGCAAAGACAGCCTTGCAGCTATATCAATACACTTTCTCTCAGATAGTTTCTATTTGTTTTAGGATGTTTCTTCTCCGGGGAGCCGAGCAAACCGCAGTCCGACGGCACCACTGAAGGACAAATATCTCTCTCTCTGTTTGTTTTGTTTTTACCCGTCTCCCCAGGAGTCATCCACTTGATTATTCTGCTCCGTTTTTGCTTCCTTCACCGCAGGCGTTGAGATTGTTAGCTCCTGCTCGCTCTTCCTCACACACACACACACACACACACACACACACACACACACACACACACACACACACACACACTCTCACACACACATCTGTGTAAGTGGCTGCGGCACTATTCTGTCATCTGTAGGCTGCAAATGTGGCTTCCCTGCTGGGGACCCGGGGAATAGACAGCGGACAAATGAAGCTGACCTACAAAGGCAAAGGACAGCAATTATTTATCAGGGAAACGGCACGAAAAAAAAAGACTCCAGCCAGCGCCTCGTGTTCCTTCTGTTTTTGCATTAATTAAAGAAAAAAAGATGTCTAACCCCAACTGAAGGTGAAGTTACAGTCCCATGGGGTGCACACATAATAAATAAGTATCAGTGGGAATTCTCTGATGGCGCCACGGAGGAAACCTGTGAATGTTTCCCCGCCCTTGCATCAGGCTGCAGCTTCAGTCATGGTCATTCTGGGGAAAGCAGCTTGTAATTGATGTGAAAGGATTTTCTTCTTCACTGTTTGGGGGAAGCTAGAGTTCATTAGCATCGCCAGAAAGACAACCTGACTCTCAATGGAAGTCACATTTAAAGAGAATTGAAGTGGTTCGGGCATACAGAGCTGAAATGTCAATTAATCAGACTTCCGCTTCTATACTATAAGCTTTAGGTAATAAAGGAAATAACGGTGCGGTTAAGGTGCTCAGATGTTATATTCATATATATTGACATGCAAAAGCCACACAGCCAGGTTTAACCCCTGCAGGATCTGTTAGGGGTCAAATGAGGCCCGATGCCATTCGTCATAAAGGGTATGAAGATGGATTTATCTGCATAGAGGAACCACGTTGAGCCTGAGAGGCGGGACTCGGGGCCGGGACGCTGTCTGAGAGACCTCTATGAATCTCACAGTGAACCGGTCTCTTTTTCAGCCTCTCACTCCTCACCATAATCACCTTTTCTAGCAGACAGTCGGCGTGCGCATGCGAGCCACAAACTTCCTTTTTATAATTGGTCTCAGCTTGCCTCCCCTGAACGCACATAATCCCCCCAAGGTGCGCAAAACTGTCATCGACACTCTCATGATGCGAGGCAATTCCCCAATTTCCTCGTGTGCCGCCTGCTGGAATAAAATGTTTGATATTAGGGTCATTTCACGCTCTGTTTGTGAGTGAAGGTGGGAGATGAGGAGGGATAAAAATAGTGGCTCATTGTCTTGCTGGGGGCGACAGACTGTAAAGACACCTTCACAAAAGGACGTCCTCTCCTTTTGTCCGCTGGACTACCGCATGTGTGCGTGTCACAAGGGACGGTATTTTTCAAATGTCTCTTATTGTCACCTTGACATTTAAGAGGCCGACGCCCCCCTCCGGCGAGGAATAAGCGCCGCCATTTCAGGCCGTTTGGAAAATGGACGGATCGGTGGGACTTCTTTCTTTAACCTGGGCGTCTCTAAATGGGTCTTTAAGTAGTGCTATAGAAATGTGTTCCCATTCTCTGTTTCCCTAATAACTGGCTGAAGTGGAAGTTGTTGTTTCCAGGCAGCAGGTTGAGGCCACCACAGGCTAAATCAGATATATTGACTTTCTCATTTATTCCAAGAGCCTCAACACTGCTTAGCTGCACCTCCACAATCTTTCAATCAGCTTCCTTTCTTATTCTTCCGACGACTCGTTACCCTTTCAAATCCATGAATGTTGAGCTGTTTTCTCCTAAAATCTTGATAACCAAGTCTTAGAAATCCTGAATATTATTGAGTCTCTTTTCTCTCGGTCACAGAGTTGTTTCTTTCTCATTTTCGCCTCAGTGCACCAAGCCATGATGCCAAACCCAGCGTCCAGCTACCAGACCATAATGGGCATGCAGCCAACCTCCAGCCTCGCGCTCACTGGCAACCAGCAAAGCAATATGGGCAACCAGATGCAAGGCATGATGGTCCAGTACCCTCCAATGCAGTCTTATCAGGTATCTGGATGATCCGTGTCAGATTCATATTACTTGTGTGGAAATGAGAAAGAGATACGATTCTATATTCCTTGTTTTTCAGCTTTTCATCCATTGTTTTTGACTCTTTTGTGTAGATTATCTTATGGTTTTATTTGCTGCTGATTTTGTCCCTGCAGCAGGTTTCCATGCCGCAGCAGTCGTACCAGCAGCCGGTTTTTGTTTCCTGTCAGCCGGGGCAGGGGGGGGTGGCGGTCGCCGGCATGCAGCCCTGCTACAGCCTGCTGCCCCCCAACCAGCACACCACCATGAGGTACCAGAGACTCCATTATGTTGCCCTGATAAACAATGCATTATTTCTCAAATGTCAATTACCAGCCTCTCATGAAACAGTGATGGAAAACTCACTGCTAATAAGCTCAGATTTATGTTCAAGAGCCTTTAATCGGTTTCAGATGGAGTTATTATCTCGCCTGTGGATGTGCTCTGTCCCAGAAAGCCATTTGCAGGTGCTCGATGCCGCTTCTCACCCCTGAAGGAGCCTCTTACTTATAGACATAACAGGCCTGACGAGCCAAGGTCATCTTTGTTCACTGTGGGCGAAAAATTGTAGTTATTACCGCGATGCATTCGGTGTTTCCTGTCTGCGTGAAGCCCCTTTTTAAAAAGCTTTTCTCCCAGTGTGAGCTCCGTGCTGTGGCTCTCATTATAAGCTGATTGATAGAACTAGTTCACAGAAAGCAAAAACATGTAATTAGTTCCTACCTCCATGGACCCAATCAATCTGGATAGTGGTGAGCAGAGCACTACTGGGACCGTCGTGTGCTCGTAACAAACACGAGGCATGAGGCAGCCATGTTCGTCATCACCTGCAGAGGAACAATACACACACACACACACACACACACACACACACACACACACACACACACACACTTACACACACTTGAGAGGAGAGGTCAGTCTCTCATTGTCCCAGCTGTGAAATGAGGCTGCTTTAGTAGGGCAGTCGGAGGAAGTGATTTATGCTGCTGGCTCCGTGTTTTCCCACGAGGCCCGGCTGTCCACCTGCAGCCTGTTTCTCCAGCAGCTGCAGAAAAAAGCCTGCAGGCGAGATGCTTACCGAGCAACACGCCTGCTTTGCACATGGACTTAAAGTTACATTTCAATTTGAATGCCCCCAGCTGCAGCGCTAAGATCTCCGAGCTCCCGCAGATTTACGTCTGTGCAGGTTTAGAAGGGATTTACTAATCACTTAGGTGTGAGCGTTCACTCCTGTTTCCTCAATCTGGAGCGCCAGAAGCACTTCTGCTGACAAGTGTGTCAACGTTTAAACTTCAAAACAGCGTATCGACTTTTTTAGAAGCTTTCTTTAATGGAAAAGGTTAATCCATCTATCCATTTATGCTTTTTAAGGTAAATAATGTATGATAGTGTTCAGAGGTCACAATTCATTTCATGGTGGATTTAATCTTTTCATTATGGTTTTAATTAACAAAGTTGTTGTTTGCTCTATAAAATATCAGAATGTAGTCAAATAAAAATGGCGCTCCAAGCCCAACAGGATGTTCTCAAATATCTTTACAGCATCGGAGAACAATTACTAAATCATTGCACCAGATGTGTTGATTTGAACCAAGTCCCTAATCCAAGTGTATTCAATTAAATTAACTGACAATTATTTTCACATTTCAGAAGCTAAAAGGACTTTTAAGCGTTGTTAAATAGTGAAAGAAAAATGATTTAAATGTCAATAAATTCATGCTGGGCTCGGCATTAAGGCACCCACTCTTATCATCTTACACACCTTGCCAGTTAGAAGCTTAAAACATATTAAAATGCATTTCTACGTGCTGTTATTAAAGGTCTTAGTGTACCTTATGTTGTAAAACCCTTGGTGTCCTGTGTGTTCCTCAGCTCCACAGTGAGTTTCCTGCCTTGCCAGTTAGAAGCTTAAAACATATTAAAATGCATTCTATGTGTTATTAAAATAAGTCTTAATTGACCTGGTTTCCTGTGTGTCTCTCAGCTCCACAGTGAGCTTCCTGCCGGCACAGATGATGGAGCAGCTTCAGTTTCCTCAGACCTCGTCGCCCTGCGTTTCCCAGCAGCACCCGGGCCAACAGTACGCAGGTGAGCTCCGAAAAGGATCCAAAACACCTGGTTCTGCTCACCAGGATCACACGCAGAATATTCCCTCCCTGACATTTAGCCACTCTGGAGCTTCCTCAGTGTCAGTAGGCGCTACGACCCGCGCCTCGTAATGAAATAATCTTCCCGGGGTTCACTTGTGTGCTTCAGAAGCGTGATTACACTCTGGATTTTTTTTAATGAGAAAAGAGTGAGACGTGGTGCCGACGGCCGCCCGGGGGGTTTGGATAAGTGAAAGTGATTTGCACGTCCACCTTTTTATTTTTTTCGTCTTTCCCGGAGATTAAACAGCCGGTTGGTCTACCTCTGCAAATACATCGACAACAACTCCGTCTGAATGTTGATCGGTAACATCACTGACATCACTGATGAAGCTTTTGGCAGGGACAAATTCTCACATGGTTAAATCTAATATAGGTAAAAGATAGTCTGCCCTACTTCCAAATGATGGCTTTAAGACTCATGCTTTAATGCAGTAAAGAAAGCACGAGACATTCTGGTGATATCTTGGGCTAGGTTTAATGGAGACAGATAAAACTAGCACTAAGTAAATTAACATAAAAATGAGTAAGTTTTAAGCAATGAATCCCTCCATAATAACTCATCGTTTCATGTATTGGCCTTTTCGAAGGGCTCTCGCTGTCCAGAGGCCCGGGCGGGGCAGTCTCCTTACTAATGACCTTTATTATTCATGCCTGATTATTATGTGCGAGCGTCGGAGGAAGCTATCGTTTCCCGCCCGTCAGTAATGAGGTCGGATAAAGGTCTCACCTACAGCGTCACCAGTAAACATTTTTAATTGGCTCGGTCCAGAAATAATCTGCAGATTAAGTCCAAAAAGCCGTTGTCCTTGATACTGTTGTCGGGTGATAATTCATAAATCAACACGGGTGTCGGCCGTGCCAGGTTTACAGTACAGTTTCCACCTAATGTGAGCTTTATGTAAACGGGAATTAATTACACGAGGGTGTGGGATTTATGGAGCAAAAGCTTCTGAAACCTCTTGATTGCTGAGTTTTTTTAAATCGAGCTTCATAAGATAATGTGATCATTGCAGAGGGATGGGATGTTATTGCCACCGTGGATGTGCCCTTAAAATCCAGGCACTTAGAACCTAATTGCTTAGCTGCGTTTTCACTGGTGAGGTGTGCAGCTGAACCAAAGTGCTGTTTGGTGAATAAATGATATTTGTTCACAGGGTAACAAAATCAAGAAGAGCATGATACCAATATGTACCCACTTTTTTCCACTTATCGCAAAACACAGAACACATTCTCCACAAAATGCAATCAAATAATAAATATATTATTATAAATAAATACATTAGGTCCAAGAAATCCAAATAAATCCAAAAAATAAATAGATTATATCGAGGAAATTACAAAAACATCACAACAGTAATATATATATATAATAATAAATACATACAAATAAGGCAGTGTATGACCTTATTAATAATTAGAGGCGCCTTCCAAAGCACCCAAGGCAATTCATAAAATATTCTAAGGAAAGGTTTAAGACGGGGAACATGTAGCACCACAGTGAGTAGGCTGATCTGAGCCGGTTTGAGGGGGGGCTTGAATGTGCTGATTGTGTCAGACTGTCTGATACTTGCTCCTCGTCAACACTGCATTTTTTTTAGCTCACAGCTTGTGTTTTTCCGTTTCCTTTGTGCAGGGTTGTTACCCGCGGCCCCCGGTGGTGGCATGGTGATGCTGCAGATGACGGCGCCCTCCTGCCAGCAGCAAAGAGCCCCCTCCCCCTGTCAGAGGAAACCAACCAGCCACAAACACCCGGAGCACCAGCGCAGCCGCAGACCTGCAGAACTCCTGCCGCCTCCAGAAAACACCCAGGTACAAACGCTGCCCGTGTGCAAAGATAAGATAAGAAAAGATAGGATAAGAAGTGCTTTATTGATCCCAAGCTGGGACGTTTTTGTGTTGCAACAGCAAAAAGATATGGAATTGTACAAAGATTATCAAACCCGAGTCTTCCTGCAATAAACCGTGTCTTAATGTACTCTATTTAATTTCTTATTCGGTTCTTGTACATAACATATTCCATTTACTTTCTTGCACTATTTTTATTTTTGTAATTCATTATATATGTTGCATTGTTGGAGCAGCTCAGGTCAGAAGAATTCCATTGGCATTTCTCCACTGTAGCTTTGAGCATATGACGATGAATTTGAAATTGAAAAATGGTTGAGTCTTTCTAATCTCCTTATAACCTTATCTAGCTTTTTTTTATTTAATCACCTCAGTGGTCCAGAGCTTTTGACTTTTCCCAAACAACGTTAAATTAAATTCTACATTTGCTCGAGCGATGTTTGCCACACAGAGCAATACAGTACGTGTCAGAAAGTTACAGACGGTTACAAGAAAGCAATTTGAAAGCCAATTTAGTTTTGTTGTCTGAGTTTGACAGTGACGCCAGGCTCGCCTCCTGCGCTCCAGGCGGGTTAAATGTCGCCGTAAATAGGCTCAGCAAATGAAGTCGGTGATGGCGTAACCTGAAAAGGAGGAGGGAATAGTCCTCAGCATTAGGGCGTAATGGTACATTAAGGGGACTAATGTGGATGGGACGGCACATTAAAGAAATGGCTTTGAGAGGAATCGTTGTGGTTGCTTTTTTTGAATGAAAGTGTTTTTTGTTCTTCCCTCTTCTTCCTCTTTCCGGTGTGTTGTGTGTAGAGCAGCCGGCCCTTATCGCGGGCCCTCACGCCCTCGCCAGGCCACCCGCCCAGCGTCAAGGGCCTCCCATCAGGCATTTCCTCCATCCCTGTCATGGCCCACCACCCGCACCACCCCCCGCCGCTCCCTACAGCCTTCTGCCACAGTGGACAAGGTCAGTAGTAACGCAGGATAATCTAAACCTGTTCCTGCCTCAGTCCAGAGGGTTCATATTCATGCTTTAATGCAGTAAAGAAAGCACAATGAACTGTTAATATATTGGGCTAGGTGTAATGGGTATATATTTGGAGACAGGCAAGTGAATTAACTTAAAAAAAGAAACAAAAAATGAGTCTACCAGTAACTTTTAAGAAATGATTCCCACCATGACCCGTGGACAAGGTCAGTCTTAAAGCAGAAGTAAAGAAAAGACAGGATAATCTAAACCTAATCCTGCCTCAGTCCAGAGGGTGCAGAGATGTTTTGCAAACAGTTTGATTGTGTAGAGAAGCTGTCATGCAAAAAAGACTTAACTGAAGCAAACAGAAATGTATTTTATGCTAAGTCAATTAACCTTTGCTCACGTATTCTCAACCTCCTAACACCCTGAGATTGATTTGCACTTTCACTTATTTAGCATTGTGATGCATTTATAGTGGAGTATTAGGTCATTTCTGATTGGCTGTTATATCTTTAGCTCATTTGCTTCTATTGTCTGTTAGTTAGTAGGTTATTTGAGATTTGTATAATTGGTAAATGTCGAAGTTTCTAGTTTCTACGGATTTGAAAATCCACTTTTTATTGATACCTTGTCTGTGAAGGTGAAGCACACTACTCTCTACTGGGCCAACCTCTGCAGTACAAACCCTCCATCAGACCTCCGCTGATCCACACCGCCCACATGGTGGCCAAACACCAGGTCAGACACACACACACACACACTCACTCACTCACTCACTCACTCACTCACTCACTCACTCACTCACTCACTCACTCACACACTGCAATAACGTTATTACCATTTTCTGGAGTCAGTCCTTTGTATTAAATGAAAAGAAATGGCGTCTCAAGTGAGCTGATGACCTTCTTTCTCCTCAGGGTCCACTGGGGGTTTGGCGAAGCGCTCATGGGAGGAAGGCCAGCAGAAAACCTCTGTCTTCAGATCTCAGTGTAGGTGAAGCAGGTAATAGGAAGTCCAGAGGGAGGCATTAGTTTTAGTGAACCTCCATTTAACGGCAGTCATTTTAAGTTTACTCCACGTTCTGACCTAGATGTAACCTTCCCTGTAAACACAAAGTGCCACTAAAAGCTATTTTTTCCATTCTTAAGTTCATGCAACCCCGACTAAAACATCGTATTTTAAAGAGAAAAAGGAAAGTAAGTAATAAACTCAGCTTCTGTGCAGATCACCTGAAATAACATCAGGTTTTTGTAGTGTCAAAATCTGCTTTCTGCACTCCTTAGCTGAGGAGAAGTGTTTGTTAGTGAGTGTAAGCAGAATAAATCACAGACGGGGCAGATCTCACACCTGGCAGTGCAACCTGCAGCCCCGGCGGGATTGTGCCGACAGAAATGTGCTGATTATTTCAAATACAGCGTCAAATTTTTGCATTATTCAGGTGCTCTAGTCAATCATATCACAAGTGCAATCAACAAGGAGTTTTGTTTTGTGCATTAAATGGAGAACTGCAACAAACAAAAATGTTAATTTTCGCTTAATATGCAGGTTTTTCTTTCTAGATTTAACGTAAAAAAAAATCATTAATGTTTCTCACATTTTATTAGACTGTCCAGGGTGGGGTCTTGTGTGATCGGTCCAGATCCAAATCCATATTCAGTGTAATAACAGAGAGGAAATATCTATATTTCACAGCATTTTTCTGCCATTTTGCATGAAAAATGACTTCATAGATCGGAATAGTTTGTGATAATTAATAATAATAATCTTTATTTGTATAGCAACAAGTGCAGTCCAAAGTGCTTCACACAGACATGTCACAGAAAACGTATCTCACACAGAATACAGATACCTCTAAAAGACATAAAAACAAACTAAAAATTGCTTGAATTGACAACAACGTGATGAAAGCAGTGGAAAGTTCTTGCAACAAACAGCATTATTTTTGAGACAGCGTAAAAACATTTGAGTGACGTTGTGACTTGTTCGACCGACCTTCAGCCCTCAGCGTTTCCCTGACAGCCGCATTTTATGGAAGCCTCCCGATGGTATAGCTGTGATTCCTCTGGCAGTTGTTGTTCTTTCCCGCCTGCTCACAGTGCTGTCTGTGTTTGTCTGCAGTGAGCAGTCAGATCCTGGAAGTGACACATCCTCCGGAGGGGATCAGCTGTACAGAATCACACCACCTCCTGGCAAACTTCTGCAAAGGGGGCCAATTGATCCAGCGAAACACCACCAGGGACGCTCACCTGGCCTCATCATACTCCATCTTTGCCATGCTACCCTCCAGATACTCCGCCCCGAGCAGCACGCTCCACCACAGGACTAGCACCGGACACAAAGTGGAGCGCTGTGACTCTAACTCGGCGAACTCATAGCTGCTAAAACTCCCGGTGCGTCAAAGGAGCGTGAAACGAACGCACGTCGAAAACCACCTGCCTCTGCTGCCTCAGTCTGGAGTTCACAGACTCTGTCCAAATCAAAAGCTAATGTTTTGAAGAATGAATGTTCACTTTTTTAATTTTGTTTTACTGCATTTGATCTTTTTCCTGGCCAAAAGGTCTGAGGTTTGTTTTTTGAAATGCGTCCGATGACCGTCTCTAAAAAAAAAAGTTTGCTGTTCGAAAGTGTTTGGAGAGCTTTGGGATTCTCTTTTTAAAAAGCAGGTGTATGCATCATATCGAGCTCATGGTGATCATAATCCAACTGTTTCTGGTTCAATCTTATTCTTGTGCCCACTTGACACGTGAAATTGGGGTTCCCCTACCATGTAATTGAATTCAAATTGAGCATTCATATCAAAGCAAGTGTCATATTTTATTTAACATTCATCAATAATTCCTTCATCTGTTTTCTAGCCACTGAAACTGAGAAGCGTTTATCCGCAGTGAGGTACACAGGAATGAGTTCTTGTTCAACAGGGAGGCTGTGGCTTAGTGTGTAGTGTGCTAGACTTTGAATCAGGGGATAGCAAGTTCGAGTCCCACTGCAGTCAGTAGTCGTTGTGTCCCTGAGACACTTCACCCCAAATTGCTCCTGTGGGGATTGCCCTCAGTATTGAGTACGTAAGTTGCTTTGGATAAAAGTGTCTAACAAATGACATGTAACATGTAATTCAACATGCTCCCAACGATAACACACAGCAGCCCATACCATAATAAACACTGAATAATAGATATACTACCTGAATTATTTGCAGTCACTTTTATACACAGTGAATGTTGGATTTGCACTGAAGTGATGAACGAGATGGAGATTTAATTGCTATCGGACTGGGCCTGGATTTCTTTCTTCTATCGACCCCATCGTTCCTGTTTGTTGCACTCGACCAGGCCACGTTCTTTTATATTTAATTAAAATGTTTATATGCACAAGAAAAATGCAAACGGGTGTGTCGTTCTACTTTGCTTCTTCTTTTTTGTTTGGGATTTTGTTTGTGTGAATCATGAGGTCGCTGTGTCTGGTGTGGCTTTTTTCCTCTTTTTTTTTTGGTTTGACTCTAATAAATGTTTGCACCACACGTGTTTACATAACTGTTTCCTATGTTTAAAGGTGAGCAATAACCTGACAGTAGTATATTAGGAATCAGAAGGGCTTAATTGGTCCCACAGAGGAGAAATGTACATAGTTACAGCATTATATAGATAGCAGCATATATAAAGACAAATAACACACTAGTAGATAAAAAGGCATGCACATAGTGTTTGAAATAATAAAATACAAATTGCACACATTCAGGGAATATAAATAAGCAGTATTTATAAAATAAGTGACATTGTAGTACACTATTTGGTACACTTAAGAGTGTATTTAACAGTTTCCTTGATGCTAGTTGTTCCTATAGTGTGAGAGGAAGAATAATATCAACATATCATCATTTGGGCTTTGCAGAGATGCAGAAATTAACCATTTTGATACTGTATGTAACGTAGAGCAACAGTGAGCCCTAGTGGCCAGCTGCAGATGCTAAAGCATGCACAGCAGAGTGAAAGTGAAAGCAAACTCTCCATACAGCTATGAGTGTGTTGATAGCAACAGCTCTGGGTTTACAGTGGAGGGAAAAGGCGCCTTAGCAGTTAGCTGAGATGCTCGCTGGGCTTCATGTCTGCAGCCGAAATGGAGACAGATTCCCGGGAGGAAAAGAGGACCGTGGTGGTGTCCGGTGTGCCCGAAGTGCTGCCCGTCAGCAGGATGATAGACAAGCTAACAATCCACTTCCAGAGCTCCAGAAAGAGCCATGGAGGAGATGTGGAGGTCGTCAAGTTACCCACCAACATGCAGGGGGTCGCTTTGGTCACTTTTGACAAAGCTGAAGGTAAATCAATCAACCTCTTCTAAACACAAGCTACAAGCTACTAACTGTGTGTGTGTGTGTGTGTGTGTGTGTGTGTGTGTGTGTGTGTGTGTGTGTGTGTGTGTGTGTGTGTGTGTGTGTGTGTGTGCGCGCGCGTGTGCGTGCGTGTGTTGTGATTTAAGTCTTTCACTTTTAGGAAGCACAAGTTAGAGTTAAGGCCGAATAAGTTCTTTTGTTTTTGTTTAAATTCCTTAGAAAGCAGCCTCGGTGTGAGCATCTTGTGTATTCACTTCTTCATAATACTTCAGTAATAACTATTCGGCTGTACTGAAGGTATAAAAACATCAATATTTGAATCATAATAAATATCGTGTTTACTACTCAAAGATAGTGACAGGAAGTGACGTATTTCCTCTAGATATACAACATAAATATAACAAAACTATCACTAGTAATAATGGTATATATTGGTGTTTTCTTCACTTCAATGCAGTAATGCAAACATATTTGAGGGTGTATAAACAGTATATCATAGTAAACAGTACCTGTATCCAGAAATACTGCTGCAAATTGACAAATTGATTTTGAAAGGCGTGTTACAGATAGAATATTTTACCATAAACGTGACAGTATTTCTGGACACACCTGCAGGGATTTTCTAAGCTGCTAAATTCAGTTATCAGTTATCATTAATTATGACTGGCTGTAAGTCATAAGCAGTGACTAGATATTTAAATGTATTAAACCATGTGCAGTCATTTCTGAATGTATCTCCTATTTAATGCTTTAATTGGTTCCCATGGGACCCTCAATGAATTCCCATGGGAACCACTTATAATACAGTATGTAGAGAGGTGAGGTATATATCAATCATTTATCTACAGGAAGTGCTGCGTTGATGCATGCCAGTGGTTTGATTCACCAGATCACAGCACTGTGTCAGCATCAGAATGGGAGATAATGAGGAGGTTTTGTGTCATTTCTGAAAGGCTTTATAAACATTATAACATATCAGTGCTCTTCTCTTGGCAGATGCAAACAGGGCGTTGGGAAAGGAGCAGCAGATCATGGCGGATGATGAGTTTCCAGAAGAATACCCGCTCACTGTGTTCCCCTTCTCTACAGATGTAAGCGTCACTTTATTCTTAAATGCATAGTGGTTAGTTTTCTCTATGATATATAAGATATTCATGTGTTCTTTTGCTGCAGGTGTTTTTCTACGTCTCCAACGCTACAGTTGATCTCTCCGTGTTCGGCAGAGATCCGTCCTCGCTGATTCAGAGTCTGCGGTCAGCTCACAGGTCGATACGTTTCCAACCTTCACCAAAGCAGAGAAAAGCTACCATCGAAGGGCCTTTCACCGCCGTCCGAGCCCTGAGACAGGACCTCATCCTCAGGGCGGAAAGGCTTAACTCCACAGCCCAAACAGCTGCCGTCAAACTCAAAGAAACTGCTCCTAATCCCAGGGTCACATCTCCTCACACCTCTGTAAGCCGCCACGGGGCTATAGCTAAGCTGGGACCAGGAAGTTCTAACTGCTTATCACCTCCACTGCACACCACAGGTGAGGAAACACAACGCCTGCATTCTAAAACTCATTCCCCGAGGCGAAAAGCATCCCGTGAGAGAGATCGGCTCGAAATACCCACAGAAAACAGAACAGAGCAAGTAGAGACCAACCCCAGACCAGTGCACAATTCAAGGAATAGACCTTCCTTAATAGGCCTGGAGATGGAACTATCTCCTAAACAGTCAGGGGTAGATGATATTTCAGATAAAGGCAGCAGACCAGAAAGGGTTTCATCCTCTAAGATCAGAGGAGGGAGTCAGACAGAAAGCAGCAGCGCTGACTATCTGCAGGAATCAGATCAGAAGAGCCCTGCCACGACGTCTAAGATCCAAACCAGACACAAACATGTCTCAAAGTCCTCCAAGAGTAACACTGAGGACACGGGAAATGTGTCTGCAGTTGGTCTCGAGGATCAGGAGGATACGTGCATCTGGGTGGACTCCTACGTATTCAATTACATCGAAAGATTTGACAAAAAGGATTTCGACCAACGCTCCAAAGGTGTTGATGTGTCCGTTCAGAGCGAAGGCACTGACCTCGTAAGGTTGGTTTTAACCGAGAGGCCAACTTCCACGGTCTCACGGCTGCAGTATGCGTTAGGAAGCCTCAAAACTCTAGTGGAGATTTGGAGGACACTGTTGAGGGTTCATCAGATCAACTACAACAAGAAGGATAAACAGAAACTGATAGAAATCTGCAAAGATGTGGATGTCCTGTGCCTTAACGTTTTATACATGATAGAGGACTCTTGTGTTAAAGTCATTGGCTACTCATCTTCTAGTCACATGTTCTGTCAAAAGGTGGAGGAAAGACTAAACCCAAAGACCCTCGAAGAAGATTTACATGGAGGAGAAATACATGACTGCAGTTCTATAACATGACCACAGGGTGGCAGCATTGTGCAGCTCCTGCACAGTGTGTCTGAAATCAACTTAAAGTTAGGCATTATCAGCACATTTTTGATTACTCTGTTCCACAAAAACATGTTTTTTTATTACCCTGGCTAATAATCAGAGTTCTATGAGTTAAGAACACTGTGTTAATGACATTCCTGCCTCTATAACCCAGTTTAATGTTCTTATTAAATGAAAGAATCAAATGATTTCCGTTTGTTTAGCGCGGGTTGATAATTAGCCCTTTTAAAATGAAGTGTAATACAAAGCATGTTCTCACAGCAGTAGGGACACATCTTAATTAACCTCCTCACGTCTCAATAACAATAGACAGGCTTCTTATTAAAAATTAGAATTGACAACCCATACATATTTTAGTTATGTATTTAATGCAGAAATAAACGTGGAAAATACTCTGAATATAAATTATATTTTATTAACTTTAATATTTGTCTAATTTTATATTTTGATGTGAGTAGATTTCTCCTTAATTTAGCAACATTTTTGTGATAATGGTACGTTTTGCATCTCTAATTATTTTTTGTGGTTGATATGTATATTTTTTTTAATTAAAACTTGTAATACAGAAATGATTTGCACTAATCTAATCAACTGGGGAGGATTCATGGTGATATGTAGGTATCCTATTCACCTGTAGTGTCTCTCTTTAACATATTGTATTTTACATAATGTATATATTTTACATTCTGTGCCTTGCCTTTGTTATACATTTTCCAATTTCTACAGGGACCAACATTGGGCAGTAGGGGGCGCTATGACACTTTCTCCAATATGGTGAAATTAGAGAAAATAGAAAAACAGACAGAGAATAGAGTCCTGCTCACTGGAGCTATTATGGAGGCTGGGTTTTGGCAAGCAGGGTGCAGATTGGCAGGCAAATGATGTCAGTTGGACGTCCCATTATACACACAAACACACACACACACACACACACACACACACACACACACACAGGGCCTCACCTTTTCCCAGGGAAACACTGATCCGAGCTTGTGATGTGTGGAGAAGATGTTCGGTAAAAATGTATTTTTTCTCTCTCCTGCGATTATGCAAATGAGCTCGCCCCACAGCCTCGGTAATTGATTCATTATGTAAAAATAAGACACACAACCATAATGAACACACACACACACACACACACACACACACACACAGACAATCACTCATTTTCCAGACACACACACGCGCACACCCACACTCTTGTTGTTACCATAGGAACATAGTGAAAGAGGTTGCCGAGCTGCAGCACGAGGCGGTGTTAGGGGAAGCTCTCGAGTACAATGCATGGAGGACGGAGGAATTACATTACAGCAGAAGAACCCTTAACAAAGACTCTTAACACACACACACCTCCCTGTTGCCCCTTCGCCTTGAACAATTACCCGTTATTTATGGGGAGGGGGTCTGGGGTTACCGTGGTATAATGGAAAGGAGGGTCAACAAGCAGAAAGCGTGAATCGTTTTTTTCATCTCTTTTCTGCTCATTATGCATAGATATAATTGGATAATTGCATTTTTGAATATATTAAACATCTAAGCATGACTTCCATGAGGGAGGTCAGAAACAGAGAAGGAGGCCTGAGTGTCTTTGTGAGGACGTTTCTCCACAGATGGATTACTGAACAAGGCAGGAGGGACTATTATTGGAAAGTCAAGAGTGAAAACATTACCTCAAAATAATCAAAAACAAATACAGAGATGCAAAATCAAAGAGTAACGATAAAGAAAAGTCTCCCAAACAATGATAAAGGGTGCTAATATGTAGGATTCAACCACCAGGAAGTGTGTGTGCCCGTGTTCAGACACACACATCTCAGAGGTCAGAGGTCGTGCAGTAAGGCAGCAAGCCTCCACGTCATATTTTGAGGAATGTGGCTGCTGGTGATGGATCGTCCTCCTCAGGCGGTGTGTGTGTGTGTGTGTGTGTGTGTGTGTGTGTGTGTGTGTGTGTATGTGTGTGTGTGTGTGTTGCAGTCACAAATTGAGTCTTAATGATTCTCTTTACAGACTATTAACCTGCCCAGGAAGG